CAGAGAATCAAACCTAGCAGTTTTCACCAAATCCGACAACAGGGAAGGCCTAAGAAGCAACGTTATCCATTGTTTCGATACCTGGAGAAGTTCAGGTGGTAAATCTAAGGATGTGTGTGCAACTGGCAGCAGAACCCCATCAGGGACCTCACACGCCACCACCAAGCTGTGTCATTAAGGGTAAAGGAAGCTGCTTAAATGTGGCCAATGAACAGCTTAAGTTAAAAGACATCTGTTCCTACTGATGGTTTCCTGGAGAAGAATATAAATGACTACTAACTGTGCATATGCTGGCGTGGAGGTGAATCAAACACCAAGGTCAAGACAGTTCTCAGACTCCAACAACAGAGACCAGGACGGGAGGTGACATTTCCATTGGGAGATGTCAGGCAGGGCAGGGGCTGTGAGTTGTGATTTGGTCCAAAGGCACACCATACTGTCCCAAAGCCCCTAACTTGTGGCTCTTCTGACTCATCCTTGAAGCAGCTCGCTCCAACCCTGGGTCCTGGTTTAGCTCTGCAACTGTGGCCTCGTTGCCAGCTGCTGCCGTGCTGTTCTCAAAGTGTGTACACAAGTCACTACATACCAGGTGAGGTGATCGCCTCCAAGCTTTGTCCTCTATTCACAGCTAACTGCTCCACCAAACATGTCACTAACCACAGGGACAGGAAGGCATAGCAAAATATGTCACACTTGCGATGATTCCTGCCTCCCAATGTAGGGCCAGAACCCGAATTCCCAGCCTCTGTGCAGTCAAGGCCTAGGCATGTGAAAAAAGTGCTGCCAATGAGGTCTCCCAAGTGAGACTCCAGCTGCAACAATGCCCTTTCCTTTTGGCGGGGGCTAGAGCCAGAAACCTGTGGCTTTTTTTAAAAAAGATGGATTGACTGATTGATTATTTATTTATTTTGGCTGCGCCGGGTCTTAGTTGCAGCACACAGGATCTTCGTTGCGGCATATGGGGTCTTTTAGTTGCAGCATGCAGGCTTCTTCTTAGTTGTGGCATGCTTGCGGGATCTAGTTCCCTGACCAGGGATCGAACCCAGGCCCCCTGCACTGGGAGTGCAGAGTCTTACCCACTGGACCACCAGGGAAATCCCAAGAAACCTGTGGCTTTTGAGAGTGGCAGAAGCAACAGGTGTAAGGCCCTGAAGCCTCTGACAACTTGGGATACACACATGTACGTGTAGACACACATGCATATATATACATACACATACACACACACAGATATATCTGTATCTACATATCAATCAACACCCTAACCACAAAGAAAGCTGCATCTCAACTGAAAGAAATGATTACCAAGAGCCAATCTGGGCCTGTCAACCAAAATGTTATCATGGTGACTAAGAAACAGCATGACAGAAGCTATATGAGTGGCCAGCTTCTTACAACTACAATCACAGCTGCATCACGTGCATCTTTATTTTCCTCATCCAGTGGCCTGTGTCATGAAGATATTGTCCATCGGGTCTCTGGAAATCTAACATGCTCTCAGAAACTCCATTTCACAGAAAGGTCACCAGTATTAAGAACTGTTTGGCAATTCTCCAAGTAAACACAGAACCTAGGAACATCTCTGCGTGGGTACAGCCTGTGGCACACAGGGGGGACTACATAAACTCTAAAACACGGGGCCTCTGTCTGTGACAAAGGAGCCGGCCAACTCTGTGGGAAACACTGGGTGTCATCTGTGGCCGCATCAGCCACCAGCCTCACCCGTGCTTCTCAAGGTTTCTTCCATCACAGAAACAATACTGGATTGACAAGTCAGAGAAGAAAGACTTTTTTTTAATCAACAATAAAGCAAGAGTAATTATCTGAACACCACCAACAAAAAAGCATATACTCCCATGAACGCACAAGTTTTGAGATGAAGTTGTCTGTCCCCACCCCGCACACCCAGAAGGGAAACAACAACATAGGCAGAGCCTGGAGACTCACCTGGGGGTTCTCTTCCATCTCTGGACTAGACCCAGCCCCAAAGTGGTAGTAAAGTTGACCTTCTGAGCAGAGACTACAGTGCTGTGACTAAAAGGATTTCAGAGCTGAAGAACTGAGCTTACTGAAAAGATAACTGCAAATGCTGTCACAGGAAGGACTCACCAAAGAGTCAACCACGGAGCAGGTGACAGAGCTGTTCTTTCATACATGTTGAGCAGTCACAGCCATTTGTCCTAGGAGGCCAACTTGTGAGGGAAAGCTCTCAAAAACTCGACAAATTCATTCATTCATTCATTCATTCTATATTAACTGGGTGCTCAACTGTTTAATTCCAAGGTAGGAAGAGTCATTTTTTCATGACATTACCATACAGAGGTGCCTTCAGGTTTAGCTGAGTCTGAAACCAGGAAGCCAACCAACGCCCCAGAATGTGTAGGACTTTATTTATTGCAAGTCAAAATACAGACAGCCTGCAGACTTGCATTACTAGCTAAAATCAAACAAATATGTAGACACGGGGAAAAGACAATTAAACAGTACAACTGGAAATATGACACCCTAAGAAAAACTAAGAAAATAATAAGCAACAGATTATTAAATTCTCAGGGACTGAAAACACCAAAATAGGGAGGAGAAACAAAGTCACCGCAGATTAAATATGGAGAGTTTTAAGCCAATTATAAAAGATCAAAGGGAACAAGAGAGGGGAGGAGTAGCCTTACAAGTAACCGAGATAGGAGACCTTGGGAGAAATATGACCAGGGTAAAATCATTACAGTTTACAGTGAAAGTAATCTAGGGATGACTCCAGAGAGAAATTCACTAGGGACCACTCCTGGGAGAACAGCACGGGCACAGAGAGCAAAAAGCTCTTTATTTTCAGAAGGCACACAACTCCGGAGGGAAGGTGCTTGCTGCAGAGAACAAGGGCTAGGATGGGTGAGGCGAAGAGTACAAACGAAAAATGCTAGTGGCTTGAGCCACATTTTGGATCCCATACTGTCCACCTCTGGCTAGGAACCTCGGTGTGGTCTCCATTCCATGGCACCGTGGGCAAAAGGGAGAGGCAACCGTTGTGGAATTAGCAGAAACTCACTTGACACTTTCTGTTTCACCCTCCAAAAATATCTGAGATTGCCCCCTTTGAATAAGGTCAACCTCCTGAAAAGTCCTAACTGTTACCAACTGTCCTAGATTTTAACCAAGAGGAGCAGAGCCAAGAAAAGAGCTGTGAATGCAAATGATGTTCACTTTTCACTGTAATATCTCATGTATTCCGCAGTTTACATAGACTTTTCAGTGGCTACCGATAATAACTCTACAAGGCTGAGACCCAGAAAGAGGAGCCGGCTGTGGCTTAGAAAGGTGCCCTGCACACAGAGGAACACGGTAGGAGCTGGAGTCCCGAGTAAACCCAGGTCTTCTCAGTCCAGGTCTGGTGTCTTCTTGCAAATGACAGGAAGAACCCAGACACCTAGCTCTTCACCTAGATTCCAAGTAGCTAATTCTGTGTATTTTGTTTTGTTTTTTAGTAATCATCAATACACTGGACGCTATAAAGTATCAGAGTCAGAAAGCCAAGGAAAGTGCACCACACTGCCAAGGAAACCCCGCTACAACCAGCATTTAAGATCAAGCGTAATGCCTGACTTACCAAATTTTATTTCTTACAAGAGATGCAACAGATCACTATATAACTGTGAGGCTGGTTAAAGCCTACGGTATAACTGAAAATACAGAATGACCAAATGTAGTATATTAATAACATAGCACTTACTGACACTGAGAAAATATATCTCAAGGAAAGAAAAAAAAGAGGAACTCTGGACATCAACTATTTTACTTACCTCTGTAACTGGATACAAACTGCTCACCTAGCTTAGTAACCTGGCTACCTAGTGGGTCCCAACTTACTATCATGACCAGAGTAATGGAGCCCAATACAAGACATGAGCATGGGCTGTGAGTCACAGACTCGGGTTGGAATCCCAACTCCACCACTTAAAATACGTGTGATCTTAAGCATGTTATTAAACCTGCTTCCTTATAAGTGGAAAAATAGTTCCTATTTTACAGAGTTGTTGTAGAGATTAAATGAGAATATAAATAACAAAGCAGCCAAGGCAGTACCTGGCATGAGGCAGACACTCAGTAAATGAGAGCTAGCAGTACTGCAATCATTACCTCCTCTGAAAACATAATGCCAAAGAATTGGGAATTAAACAAACTACACACACAGATGGCAGAGGATAAAGCACTGCCCGCTCTCTCCCTTCACACACAGGAATTAGAAAATATTATTCACAATCGTGCGTGGATCCTCAGTTTGAGAAACATCCCTTACTCCTGCCACACTAGCTCCTGGCAACGCAAACTAATGTGAGAATTACATTTCTTTGCTTAATCACCCTTACTATATGCCCTGTTTCTTCAGTTCTACCCAATTCTCCCCTGCTCCTAGATGCAAGCTTTTGTTCCCTGTCAAACTCCTCTCCATTGCTGTAAATAATCTCTCTCCCTCTTTGTATATTACCTTTCAAATATTTATAGACTGTTATTCTCCTTCTCTCCAAGCCATACATCATTTTTGTTGCCCTTCCCCTAGGTTCTCTCTAGTTTATCTACGTCTTTTAGAGAAAAACAAACCCCAGGTGCTTCATGATGAAAACAGCACACCCAAAGCTAACAGCCCTAAAGCCAATAAGGCCCCTTATTCAAAAGCCACCAGAAAATTCTTTGATGTGCTTCTTCCTCCTCTTCCCCTCTAACTCAGTAATTCCATCTCTCAGATAAAAACAAGGGAGAGAGGGATAAGGGAGGTGACCACCAGCCTCTCCCAGTGCAGGCCGGGGCTCCACGAGGCAGCAGCTCCTGGGGTAGGATACCATGGGACAGCCACTGACACGCTCCAACTCGCTAATGAGGAATTCTGCACCATGCACATTGCTCCTGCTTGTTAATTCCTTCCCCATCCACTGCATTCGATATGAAGGTATTAGAACCGTGTCCTTGGGACTCCCCTCCCCTCCCCCACCAGGTCTGGGCTGACGCACCTGCTTCTTCATCCGACACGCAGGGCCCAAGGTCTCTAAATCGTGTGCCTTCTGTCCAAACTGTGAGGGGCAACAAGATACAGACAGTGTGTTACCTGTTTTGCTGAAGGTAACTTCCTCATCTTGGAGTCCTGGGTAACTGTGTGGTTATCCAACACTCCCTACTCCCTTTAGAAAGGATAAGAGGTGGCTAACACTAAAGACACATGTCAGTACAATTAATAAAACAAAAAGAAAAGCAAGGCTGAGAAAAGAAGGGGAAAGCTTACTCATACTCTGATGTGTGAGTGTTAAGATGTGTCTTGGAGATTCCTGGCTGCTGGTGTGTGGCCTGGGGTAGGGGAACTGTGATGGGTTATGTACTCCTTACCCAGAGACACAATTCTTACGTCACGTAGCTTGATTTTTGAGGTGAAAAAAAAAAAGGAAAGAAACAACAAAAAAACACCTAGTTTATGGCTATAGGGTAGATCATATCCAGACTCATTCCTCTGTTCCTCATTTTAGTATCTGAAACTTGAGTTTCATGGCATGTTTCTGTACTTCGTCATGGTTTACAAAGAATTTTCACGTTAAAATCTTAGTTGAGGGCTTCCCTGTTGGCGCAGTGATTGAGAGTCTGCCTGCCGATGCAGGGGACACGGGTTTGTGCCCCGGTCCGGGAGGATCCCACATGCCGCGGAGTGGCTGGGCCCATGAGCCATGGCCGCTGAGCCTGCGCGTCCGGAGCCTGTGCTCCGCAACGGGAGAGGCCACAACAGTGAGAGGCCCGTGTACCGAAAAAAAAAAAAAAAAAAAAAATCTTAGTTGAGCACCACACTGATTCTGCAAGATAAACTGAGCAGGCAATATTATTTTATCCATTTCACAAATGAGGAAACAGACACAGAAATTAAGTGAACTGCTCAAAATCGGAGAGGTGATGAGTAACAGGCAGGTATTTGGACTCTAGATTTTAGGTTCTTTCAGTGACATGGAGCTTCCTACCCAGGCATAAAGTTAACCAGATAAAAGCAAAACTGTTTCCAGGTGTCTTCGATCTTCAAGATCTTTGATCAAGCTTCTACTATCACATACCATTCTCTCAGGGGGAAATTTGGCACTAATAAGACTGGTTGATCTGTTAACTAATCTGGCACCAATCTGGAAATCGGTACTAACAACTAACGCTCACCCTGGCGGAAGCACAACCCTGAATGTGTTCAACATCTACCAAAGAAGCAGTAAAATCATTTTGAAAGAGTTGATGGGTAACGTGCATTCTATCGATAATTTCATGTAACACTGGTAAGAATAAGATTAGTCTCTAGTAACCAGAATATCTGAATGGAGAGTGTATCCCATTCCTCACCTGGCTTATCATATACCAAACAGTAATACTGGAACCTCTAGACCACAGCACCAGACATGAGTGTGAAATGGTTCAATCATTGAGGCCATTAGCTTAACCTGAGCTCTGCCCACGGTTATACTGGAATGAGGACAGAGGTTGGAAGAGTGTGAAGAACACATCAGGTCCACTTGGCTCCGGTCTGCTGATGGGGGACCAGACAAGCCACAGGCTCCTCCGCCTGTCCACAGAGGACAGTGACCAGGGCCAGTCCTCGGGCTCCTGGTCTCTGCAGCCTGTCCCCAGCTAGTCTCAGCTAGGGGGGAACTGCAGCTCATATCACAAAGGGCCAATCTCCACAGTAAATAAGGAACTTCAAGATAGGGGGAGGGGATTCAATAAAAAAAAAGAGCAAAGGACAAACACAGAAGGCTCACAGAAAAAAAAAAAAAAAGGTCCTTTAACATATGAAAAGATTTCAGTCTCACTAACAAAGGAAAAGGGGATTATAAACTATATCAACCATATTTGTTTTCTATTGCTGTATGACAAATTGCCATAAATCCAGCGGCTTAAAACAAGGCAAATTTATTATCTTACAGTTTTGTTGGCCCATCGTCTGACCCAGGTCTCTCCAGGCTAAAATCAAGGTGCTTAACTGGGCAGAGGGCTGTTCCAAGCTTCTAGAGAACTCCTGAAATCTTTGCCTCAGCGCCCCCTTCCTCCATCTTCGAAGCCAGCAACAGTGGTCAGGTCTTTCCAGCTTTGAAACTTCCCAGCATCTTCTGTTGTGACATCTCTGGGGCAGCTGGGAAAGGTTCTCCACGTCCAAGGATTCAGGCCATTAGAATGGGCCCACGTGGAATCCAGGATCACCTCCCCACCTCCAGATGCCTGACTTCACCACATCTGCAAAGTCCCTTTTGCCACGAAGGTAACACCTTCACAGGCCCCAGGAGCCAGGGTGTAGCCCTCTCTGGGGGCCATTGTTCTGCTGACCGCACCCACGTACAGCGCTTTACCTTTCAGATTGGTAAAGCCCCCATGGCAACCCCCATAGCACTGGCAATGCCGTGGCAGCAGCTCTCTGGAGGAAGTGCCGTGGACACCATCTACCCAAATTACCTTAAGATAGACCTCCTGTCCTACCAGTTCTTTCCATCTCTACTGTCACCACCCCAGTGCAAGCAGCACCCCTCTGCCTGGGCAAATGCATGGTCTTTGCTTTGCTCCCCCTTGAAACTACACTCCACACAGCAGCAGAGACATTTGAAGAGAGTAAATCAGATCACAGCATTCACTGCTTCAACACTCCAATGACTTCCCGTCGCACTCACCATAAAATTCCAACTCCTTCCCTGGCCTGCGAGGCAGCAAGTCGCAGCCCCCAGTGATGTCACGCTTGCTCACAGCACCGATCACACTGGTCTGCTTCCTGCTCTAAGCACTGTCTCACCTTGCTGCGCCTCCTCCCTGGAAGGCTCTTCCCCCAGACCTTGACTGCAATGGCTCACTGTCCCTTGGGACTAGCTCAGATTTAATCTCCTTAGAGAGGCCCTCTTTCCCTAACCTCCATGTCAACAGCCGCGAGCCCTCCAGAACATGTATCTTATCACTCTGTCTCCACAGTGCTCATCACTTTCTGAAAGCATCTTACTCACTGGTGCACCTGATTATCCACTGTCTCCCCTGTTGGACATGTAAGATCCATGAGACAGATGTTTTAGGCACTGCTGTATACCTCATGCCTGGAAAAGGGTCTGACCCAATGCAGTCACACAACGAATATTTGTTGATTAAACAAAAAATAAAATAGAAACACAGATGGAAGAAAGGGAAAAAGGGAGGGAGGGACTCTGGCCCAGACAGCAGACTCACCAGCAAAGATTAATTCAACTCAGTTCAGCAAACAGTTATTAGTGTTTGATGAATCCAATCTGCTTCCCTGAACTAATGTATATACTGCATTTCAGATAAACTCCCCAACCTCAGGATCAGAGTTAAAGGGTGCTGTAAAAATAGGGAGTAGTTTTATAAGTGCTGAGATCAATACCGAAGAGTCAGCTGTTAGTATACACTGGACTGAGCTGACATTGGGTGGCTGAAGCAATACCCGAGAATTCTCACTGCCAATAAACATCAGAAAATGTGCTATTACTAGAATACTGAATCAGTATCTTCTTCTGACTACAAACCAGCTGTTTATAGTCTACTTTAAGAGTTTCTTGTGCATTTTTTCTGAAATGCATGCTCAGTGGTACCGTACACTAAGACTGGGTTAGTGATTGTGAAGTCTACTAACAGATGTAAGAGACCAGAGGAAACTGGGTTTGCAGTGTAATCTGGTTCAGCAACAGGGAGCAATATTTATGTGAATTTTCTTAGGGGGAATTTTTTTATCAGTTGAAAAGTAAGACACCTTGAGGCTGAGACAGAAGTTCAGACCTGCACTTACAGAGTTGCTTGTGACCAAGGCGAAAGGAACCCTGACAAGTCAAGAACCAGTGAGACAGCAGTCAGAGCCCCAGGGGGCCCAGGGGTACCCTCACTCCACTCCCTTGGCTTCATGGCACAACACAGAGCACTCCTAGGCCCAGAGTCCAGATCACCTGGCAGAGGTACAGAATTCACAGTATCCCACATCAGGTGGCAGCTGGCCTTACCCTGGGCCCCCTTCCCTACTAACCTCAGCCCTTTAAGCAACTTCAGAGTCCTCAGAGGCACAAATTAGACCAGCCTATAGAACAAAGAGAGAAGTCAGCAATGAAGCAAAAATTGCGGCCCTGGGGGAAGAAGTAAGAGGAAAAAAACAAGATGTTGAAGCGATAAAATGAATCATCTCATGTGAGTCTACAGGTGGTTCCGAAGGCCAAGAAAGGCGGGTTAGCAGAAGAGGCTGTCCTTAGCCAAAAGTTAATGAGAGGGAGAGAACGGGGAGTTATCACTCAGCGGGTTTAGTGTTTCAGTTTGGGAAGATGAAACAAGTCCCGGAGATGGAAGGTGGCGGTGGCTGCACAACCCTGTAAAGTACTTAATGCCACTGAGCTGTACACTTAAAAACGGTTAAAATGGTCCATTTGACGTTAGGCATATTTTACCACAATAAAATCTTTTAAAAATAAGATAGCTAATAAAACAACAGATAGGACAGAAGGGCATCCACGAGATCCAAAGAGTAGTGGGTGGCTGAGGGGGTCGTCAATGGACAGGATCCCTGAACCAGCAGATAACCAGGAACCCAAGGGTCAAGGACTCCAGGGGGACACGGTGCAGCAGGCAGGAGAAACTGGCGACACAGATGGGCCTTCTGACATTCCAAATGTCTCCTACGGCAGCAAACACAAGGCCGTACAGCACTACAATGATACCTAGTGTCCCCCACCACCTATAAAAGTTTTCCAACGCTATGAATAACTATGGCAGTAAATTCTGAGACAGTCTATGAACTACCCTCTTCCAACTGGCAACGTGAAGAACAGCTGTCTATTCTCATCAGCCCGCGGGTGTTCTCTTCTACTTTCCACAGGAGTGACGGCGGTTTTCCATTTTCAGAAATCCAAAGATAAAAACTATTCTTGCCAAGTTTCTAGGGCAAGAGAATTCCTTCTCCCTTGTTCTGAGGAAATGCTTGTCACCCAAGGTCTAAAAAGTTGCTTAAGCCCTTGAGAAACAAACCAACGTTTCTACGGGCCAAAAACACAACAAAGAAAATCTGTCACTGGTTCCCTCT